ATTAAATAGGCTATCTTTCCTCCAATGAGGGTGGTTGGCTCCTTTGTCAAAGATGAGGTGGCTGAGTATGTCTGTAGTTGTTTCTGCATCTTTTAATCTATTCCACTGATCTTCCGGTTTGTTTCTTTGCCAGTACCATGCTGTTTATATCACAGTAACTTTGTAGTATAGTTTCAAGTTGGGGATTGTGATACCCCCAGCTATTTCTCTGTTGCCTAGAATTGCTTTTGCTATTGTAGGTCTCTTCTAGTTTCTAATGAATTTTTGGGTTGTTTTCTCTAGTTCTGTGAAGTATATTGTTGGAATTTCAATCAGCATTTCATTAAATCTATATAGTAGTTTTGGAAGTATGGCTATTTTTCACTATATTGGTTCTTCCTACCCAGGAACAAGGGATGTCTTTCCATTTTCTTAAATCCTCCTTGATCTCCTTTTTCAGAGTGCTGTAGTTTTCAGCATAGAGGTGTTTTGCTTCCTTCGTTAGATTGATTCCTGGATATTTCATTTTTGGGGGATGCTATTGTAAAAGGGATTGTTTCCCTAATTTCTCTCTCAATAAGTCTGTTATCTGTGTATAAGAAGGCTATTGTTTTTTGAGTGTTGACTTTATATCCCGCTACTCTACTGAATCTGTCAATTAAGTCTAGAAGTCTTTTGGCCGAGTTTTTTGGGTCTTCTATGTAACGTATCATATTGTCAGCAAATAATGACAGTTTAACTTCTTCTTTTCCTGTCTTTATTCCTTTTATTTCTTTCTCTTTTCCAGTTGCTCAGGCTGTTTCCAGAACTATATTGAACAGGGGTGGTGATAGTGGGCATCCTTGTCTTGTTCCTGATTTTAGCATGAAAATTTTCAGTTTTTGACCAGTTAGTATGATGTTGGCTGTTGGATTTTCATAGATGGCTTTAGTCAGATTGAGATAAAGACCTTCTATTCCAATTTTCTGTAGGGTTTTTATCATGAATGGGTGTTGGATTTTGTGGAATGTCTTTTCTGCATCTATTGAGATGATCATATGGTTTTTGTCCTTGGCTCTGTTAATATAGTGTATTACATTTATTGATTTACGAGTGTTGAACCATCCTCGCATCCCTGGGATAAATCTGACTTGGTCAGGATGTATGATCTTCTTGATGACCCTCTCTGTATTCTGTTTGCTGTTATCTTGTTAAGGATTTTTGCATCTATGTTCATTAGGGAGATTGGTCTGTAGTTCTCTTTTTGGGTTGGGTGTTTCCCTTGTTTTGGAATCAAAGTAAAACTTGCTTCCAGGAATGAATTTGGAAGCCTCCCTTCCCTTTCAATGGCGATAGTTCTTTAAATGTCTTGTAGAATTCAGCAGTGAAGCCATCAGGACCTGAGCTTTTCTTTGTTGGTAAATTTTTTGTTACATTTTCAGTTTCACTCATTGTAATTGGGGTGTTTAGAATTTCTTTTTCTTTTTTTTTTGTTACCATGGATCCAACTCGGGTCCTTGCCCTTGTGCAGCAGGTGGCGAAACCACTGAGCTAAATCCCTGGCCCTAGAATTTCTGTATCTTCTTCATTTAACTTTGGTAATTCATATGTATCTAGGAATCTGTCCATTTCTTCTGTGTTTTCCATTTTATTAGAGTACAGGTTCTCG